GGTTTTCATCTGCAATTTGTTTATGTAGCATGTCCAGTTTGCTACCTGCCTCTGGAAGATGCTGTTGCTCGTATGCCAAATGCATCTTCATTTTCCCCTGTGCTGAAAAACTTGACATATATTCATGAGGAGACTTTGACTAAGTCTGAATTCGGAGGTTCAGAATTTGGTGGATATCCTTCTCTTGAAATGAGGAATGATTCGTATGATATAAGAGAGTCAATGAGCGTGCACTGTGGGTATGATTGTTCTTACACTGTTTCAGTTTTATTCATATTCGCAAAAATAATAAAAATAAAAATAATTTCTCTGCTATTTGATTTTATAATTTATGTGATGCTATCTCTCTTTTCTACCCAACAAGGTTTGTCAAAGGAGTGAAACCAGGCCGTCAGACGGGGTTCGATATTGACGATTCTGACCTTCTTGAGATGGATTCTTGTAAAGGCGTGGTGGTTGCATCAGCAGTTTTCGGTATGCCTTAAATGGTAGCTCATACTAATTTAATATATATTGATGATACTAATTGAGGGGAATTCGTTCATGAACAGGAGCCTTTGATTTAATAAGACAACCAAAGAACATTAGTGAATACGCCAAACAGAACGTTTGCTTTCACATGTTTGTGGATGGTGAAACTGAAGCTTTTTTGAGGAACTCGAGTGAGCTTGGCAGTGACAACAAAGTTGGTCTGTGGAGAATCATTGTTGTTCGCAATTTACCTTACTTGGATCCTAGACGCAATGGAAAGGTAAAATGCTCTTAAAGCATTTAAATCAATAAATTCTAATTGGTCAAATCAGATGAAAAAGGTTTTTGTTAATCAGTACTAATCTAGAGCAATAATCTGTATTGATATAATGTATTGGTTGCGTTGGGTCTTGACTAGTAAAAGAAGCCTATTGGATGAAAAACACACGATTACTTTGCATTGAGCATTGACAGGAAATTGATCTTCGTTTGACCTTCTGAGAGCAAGTTGAAGTAATGCTTTGTTTATTACGTATTTTGGGTTGCAAGAAAAATACATAGAATGTTATGAGGTGTGATTTGTCATATTTGTTTGATCAAACCTGTGCTGTAATTGGTTCAATTCAAGAAAAATACATATAACGAATATTAGGTATCTAAAATTGGTTATTCTGAGGTTTTCTCTTGCACCTGCAGATTCCAAAACTTTTAATGCACCGGCTTTTCCCCAATGCCCGTTACTCACTGTGGGTCGATGCAAAACTTGAGCTTGTTGTGGATCCATTTCAGATTCTAGAAAGGTAACATATGCTTCATACAAGTAGCTGTGGTTGCTCACCGTAATTGTGTTCTATGATTCGTTAAATACATAATTTAAAAAAGAAATAATTATTTATATGACATGACCCACATTTAGTTTGGTGGTGTATAAATGTGTAGTGGTCATGTGGATTATTGACATCGACCTCCACTGATATGATGAAATAAAAATATATAATTATGGGATTCTGATATTTTTGAGATATCAATACTAGTCAACCACTGTGTGTGTTTGTGAATCATTTTTTTTTACTGAATGTACGAGCTACTTGATATATGCCTTATTTGGTGAAAATCTTTTCTAGATTCAAAATTTCATCTTGCAGGTTTCTGTGGAGGAAAAATGCGAGTTTTGCAATATCGAGGCATTATAAGCGTTTTGACGTCTTTGAAGAAGCAGAAGCTAATAAGGCTGCCGGGAAGTATGACAATGCTTCCATTGATTTCCAGGTCGAATTTTATAAAAAGGAGGGTTTAACACCGTATTCTATGGCAAAATTACCGATTACTAGCGGTAAAGGCAGTGCCTAGCTTTTTTACTTTTCACCTTTCTCTCTTTTACTTTTTAGTTTCTGGTTTTAGCCTTTGGCTTGATGTATAGATGATTCATATTTGGATTTGATTATATATTCCAGATGTTCCTGAAGGATGTGTGATAGTAAGGGAGCACATTCCAATCTCCAATCTCTTCACATGCCTTTGGTTTAATGAAGTCGACCGTTTTACTTCTAGAGATCAGATAAGTTTTTCAACTGTGAGGGATAAGATCTGGTCGAAGGTTAATTATACAATCAATATGTTCCTCGACTGTGAAAGGCGAAACTTTGTTATCCAGGTATATAGCTTATAAGCTTCCTGTATTAAAATAAGTTTAGTTTGGTAGGACGAACTTTTTTAAAAAACTCAGAGCTTATCGCATAAGCTTCTATGGGTAGCTTTTCAAATAAGCTCATTGAAATTTTTATATCAACTAGCTTATAGTTAATTTTACCAAGCACTTTGTCATATAAGCTAACTTTTCAGCCATGAGTCATAAGCTATCAGCTATAAGCTCGAAATTCACTTAGTAGCTATAAGCTAGCTGATTAGGTTTACCAAACATAATATGATACCAACAATTTTCAAAATTTGTTACTATTTTCTTATTTATATGATAATAACTTTGAATTTAGTTTTTTTAATATTTTATGGGGGTTTCTTCTTGATTGGTTTACGACCCGTTTATGACTGTAGGGTTACCACCGAGACTTACTCGAGCAATGGCCTCCTCCACCGCCTCCCGTTGGTGTTTCTGGCGTGCATCCTCCGCCAGTTATAGTATTTAATGAAAATTCAAACAAATCCAATTCAGGAATTTCATCTGAGAATATTATTGTAAGTAGGAACCCAGCTCGGAAAATTCCTGCAAGACGTGGTAAAGAGCGGAGGTCAAGGCGTCACCGGAAAGTCATTGCCGCCGGCCAGTAAAAATAACGATTATGAATTAATTTTTTTTAATTATTATGTTTATTATTATTAATTCTTTCCTTCCCTGTTTCAAATTTCTCATTAGTTAGGCGGGGTTAGGAGGTGTCTATGATGAGATTTTTTAGTTTATGTATCTATACAAACGACGTTGTCCATTTTTGGTCTATCATTTTTTCTTATAGTCATCACATTTAAATATTTTTTGTATGTACATATATATATATATATATATATATAACTAGTGTATATCCCGTGCGATGCACGGAAGAGTTCATATTTTAAACATTTTTTAGATTTTATTTTAAATATAATTATTTATATTTTTCACATCTCGTCTATTATGAAAATAAAATAAATACAATCAATGAAAAATATATATTATTAAATACTTTTCTTTATACAATATTTTTTATTTAAGGAATATTATTAAACATTACGGTTTTGATTTGTTATTTTAAATCAATAATCCAAAATATATGATTGTTAACGTACAAAAAATAATGGAAATAATCCAGACTTTAAAGTAAAGCTATTTTTTATTATTTTACAAATAAAAATCTTCTAAATTTTTTTTAATTTAAAAAAAAAATTGGCAAGTTTGATAATGAGTTAAATCAAGTTATACAAATGATTAAATAGTTAAAATGTTATATTAATTATATTTTAAGAAATCCGATTATATAAAAATGGGTAAAAAAATATTATACTAATTAGTTTGTTAGGATTGTGATTATATGGAAGTTAAAATAAAATGAAATGTAACAAAAAAATTTGTTCGTGGTCTTTTTCCTTTAAATGTTTGAATTTAAAAATCTAGTAACCAAATTTACATTATATCACGTAAGGAAAAAAATAAATAATAAATATTTATTCAGGAGATAAATCAATAATATTTATCATTTAGATAATAAATAATAAATATTTACATGTAAAAAAATAAATAATAATATATATAAAAATATACGTCAGAATTTCAAATAAAGTAAAAGGAGGGATAACTCATTTTTTAAAAAAAGTATCTAAATATTTAATATATTGATAAGTATCTGCATAAGAATAATCAAACCATTTTAATTTTAAAAAAATTAACAAGTTTGTTAGAGAGATAAATTCGGTTAGACAAATGATTAATTTGTTAAGATATTATTTAATTGTATTATAAAAAATCGGTTAGATAATGTAGATAAAAAAATATAATACTAATTAGTTTGTTAGAAATGTGATAATGAAAACCAAGATAAAATTAAATTTACCCAAAAAAATTGTTTGGAATCTTTTTCTTTAAATGTTTGAATTTACAAATTTAATACCGAAATTCTATTATATCACATAAGGAAAAAATAAATAATAAACATTTATTAATATATTAAAATATGTAATTTTGAATTTCATATAAAGTAAAAGGTATGCTTATTCAAATTTATTTTTAAAATAAAAGTTATGATAAACATTTATTGATTCTCTTTCAAATATATTAATAAAATAAAAATATAAATCTAAACAAATTTTGAAACAACCAAACAAATCGGATTGATTGGCATAAAAAAAGGAAGTGAAATCGGATTTGAATGCTAAAATCGAAACACCTTACCAAATTGAATGCTAAAAGATGCGATTTGATTGGTTACCTAATTACATGGGCTAAAAAAATTCAAAAAAAAAAAAATTACGAATTGAAGAAGCGGGAAAAACACTATATTGAAGCGGGAAAACGAAATGATTTTCTTCAGATTGTTCAAATAATTTTTCTTCTCCGTATTATATAGTAATACATTATGTTATTAATTCGAATAATTCTATTACACCTTTGATGAAATTTTGTGTCAAGTGTGAACTTTGATTATTTGTTTAAATTGAGATTGGAGTTAACTGAATTACTATGTATCAAGGTGATTAATTATAAACTTGTGATTGCAAATGATCTAAAAAAAATGTTGAATATTATTTGGTAGTAATTAATGTTGGGTAATCATCTAACACTAGTATTCGACCTTGTGCGATGTAAATAAAATTAAATATTATAAGTTATATTTATGTATATAATATAAAAATTATAAGTTATATAATTGTATTATATTTCAAACATATAGTATTATAAATTATATTTATCTATATAATATTAAAATTATAAATTATATAATAATATTATATTTTAAAATTTGATCATTGGTTAAAATAAATAGTACACACGATTTGATTGTATACGAATCACTATATTGATTGCATAAAATGTAATAAATATATACTTATTATAATTTTGAGTGATCATGACCAATTAATTAACTGAAAAATATTACATTTATTATAACAATTGCTTATGTGATTTTAAGAAATTTTACTATCACATTAGAAAAAAATTAATTTACTAATAAACAACCGCTTCATCATATAAAAAAATATTGATTTTAGTGTAAAATATATTTTTATGTAACTTTCATATATTATTTAGTATAAAATATAATTACTAATGTTAATATTAACTATTATATTATTCAATAAAAAAATATAATTATTAATACATTAACATAAAATATAATGGTTTTTGTCTTAATTAACCCAAAAAAATGTAATGAAATATTTTCTTATTAATGAGATTGGGTGTATTAATGCCACATAAATAAAATTTATTAGGTTCTATTTATTAGGTTTTATTAATGATTTGCCACATAGGTAAAATTTATTAAGTTTTATTTATTAGGTAAAAATTTATTACTTAGCTAACAATTATATATATATAGATGGTTGTTGTTGTTAGACAAATGCTAGACTATAATAGACATATGTAAATGTATACTAATTGTGTTAAATTGAAAGTCCTACACTAATCAATAACATAAATAACAATAAAAATTTTTATAATATAAGTAATATTATGTTAAAAAAAATTATAATTGATTATTGGACTCACATAAAAAATTGTATTTTGAGTATTAACTATTAACTCCAAATTGGAACCTAACATTGTTTTTATTTAAATTTAACGGATGCTCAGTTGTTAAACAAAAGTTGGACTTGAAAGTTTTACTATGTAACATTTTTTAAATGTAATAATTTTAATGTGTATATATCATTTTTGAAGAAGAATGTACTGTTTGATTTTGATAGATCGATATAATGCAAAAATGCATCAAAAATTTGTCAGCTGAAATAATCCCTTTAGGATTAGGGCATCATTGAAGAGAGCAAGGTCTTTAAAACCATGTTCTCCTCTTTCCTTTGGCAGTGTAAGCATATCCCACGATTCCAATGAACGCCTTGTGCCTGTTCCATTCCTCTACTCCACCAGAATCTAGCAGTCAATGTAGAGATATCTTTGCAAACACCAGTAGGAAGACAGAAACAGGACATTGAATAGACTGGTTGAGCATCAATAACAGATTTTATCATCACTTCTTTACCAGCTGTTGATAAATAACATGATTTCCAATTGAGCAATCTTTTTCTGACAGCATTAAGAATATACTCAAACACCTCTCTCTTGGATTTACCAATACCTAGTGGGAGACTTAGGTACCTGGTTGATCTGTGAATTGTGATTCCCTGAAGTATGAGGCAGATGTTGGTCTGTGTGGCTGCATCAGTGCTCTTGCTAAAAAAGACAGATGATTTCCCAAGATTCACTTTTTGACCTGTGAAATCCTGGTACTCGGCTAAGATATTCATCAGAAGAGTAGCATGAGAGCAATCTGCAACACTAAAAAATAAAACATCATCAGCAAAGAGGAGATGAGTCACAGAAGGACCAACTCTGCCCATTTTCAAGCCTCTATAGATACCACTGGCAGATGCATTCTGGATGAGTTTAGAGAGGACTTCAGAAACAAGAATAAAGATGTATGGAGATAGGGGGTCTCCCTGCCTGAGCCCTCTAGAAGCTTTGACAAAACCCTTCATTTCCCCATTGAGATTAAAAGAGTAGACAGTAGTAGTAAGGCAAGACATGATCCATTTGACAAACTGTTCATGAAACCATAACTTTGAAAGAATTTTTTGAACAGCATTCCACTCTATTCGGTCAAAAGCTTTCTCCATATCCATTTTTAAAGCCATGTAACCAACCTTTCCAGTTCTATGTCCATTGAGGTAGTAGATGGCCTCTTGAGCAACAATCACATTGTCAATGATGTGTCTGCCAGGGATTAAAGCACTTTGGTTTGGGCTGATACATTTGTGAAGGCTGTTTTTGAGTCTTGTGGTTAGGATTTTGGAGATGATTTTGTAAGAAACTCCACAGAGACTAATGGGTCTGAAATTTGTAAGGGAGGAAGGGTGTAGACATTTTGGAATGAGAGAGATAAGTGTGTGGTTCCAGTTTTTAAGAAGGAGGCCTAAGGAGAAAAAGCTGGAAATGGCTTCACAAAGGTCAGTCTTTATGATTTCCCAAAAAAATTGGAAGAATAAAGGGGACATACCATCTTGACCAGGGGCTTTGCTTGGATCCATGAAGAATAGAGCTTCTTTAATTTCATCTTGAGTCACTGTAGCCACCAGCTCCTCATTTATCTCTGTGGTGATACCACTAAGCCTAACCTTCTAGTGAGCAAAGTTCTAAAAGGAAGATATTTTCCAAATGAGTCCATCCTACAGGCTAAAAGAAGTTCCTCAGTGTCATGGCTCTGAGCCAACTGGTTGTCTACCAGAGACAGATATGAAAATTTCTTCAAAATTCAAGTCAGGGATGGCATCTCAACAGACATTTGGAAGGATCCCTGGTTGTTAAATTACCACAAAAAGTCACCTGTTCTCAAAGGTGGAGTAGATTGCCATTTGACATCTGTCTGTCAACTTCTTGAAGAAGATGGTAGAAGATGGAATCAACCCCTATTGAGAGAACTTTTCAGCGAGATGATGTGCAAGCAATAATGAGGATCAAATCACTGAACAAACTTGAAAAAGACAGATGGATCTGGGCCATGGATCCAAAAGGACTACTCACAGTCTCTAAAACTTACTCCAACATCCTGTCCAAAAAGTTTATTAACATGGACATTGCAGAGAGTAGTGGTGCAGCTGCCTCTGAGATAAAAGCCAGAAAAAGAATATGGAGCCTAAAAGTGAAAGCCAAGCTGAAACACTTCATCTGGAAGTGTATCAACAATATTCTGCCTGTGAGTGTGAATCTTATCAAGAGAGGTATGTCCATTGATCCTATCTGTAAATCTTGTGGTGAAGCAAATGAGACAATTGAGAATATACTCTTCCTTTGCCCAAGAGCAATGTTGGTTTGGAAACTGGCACCTTTAGAATGGGAGGAAATTGAGAATCCAAATATAAATTTTAAGCAGTGGTGGAGTAGCATTTGCACCCTTGACAAAAAACAAACATTGGAAGATAGAATTCAGTTAACAACCTACATTCTCTGGTGGTTGTGGAAGTCAAGGAATTTATGAAAATTCCAAAACCAATGGTTGCCTGACTCAGTAGTGGTCTCTTCTGCTTGGAAAGACTGGACTAAGTTTCTGACTGTTAACTCTATGTTGTTATGATGAGCAAGAAGACTAGTAACTAGGTCCTTGATCAGGTTCAGTGGTTCTACTCTCTTGTCTCTGAGTGTTGTCTCTTTGTTTTGGCCTACCATGTAGAGGTTTCTGCTGATTTAGCTGCTCTATGATGGATCCTTTATGCTATTTGTTGTCGGTTTCTCCCTTTTGTTGCTGATTGTTCTTTGGCTGTCTGATTCTGATCTGCAAGATGTCTTCTGCTTTGGCTGGACTACTATTAATTCTAGTTTATTTTCCTTCTATTTTTATTTTCTGATTCTAGAGCACCGTGTGGTGTCTCTCCATTGTTGATGTACATTATTGTATCTCTCCATTGCTGATTCTAGATGATTGGATATAAAAATTTTTGGTTTTGTTTGGATTTTTTTGTTTGGTTTGGTTAATTTTAAAAAAGTTAGTATGGTTAGTTGTTAGTGGGTATATTAGAATAATATTTAAAATAAAATGATTGAAGTTGATTTGATGTAAAGTAGGAGAAAGAAGATTTGAAGTGATGGTTAGTTAAAATTATGTGAGTGGATGAATAGTGAATTAAGGTAAGGTGGTGTGTAAGAATGATTGATTGATATTATTTAATTATACTGATAATATTGATGATAGTGGAGTTGAGTTAAAATTGAGTTAAAAAAAATGGTTGAGTAAAAAATGTTTGGAATTTTTTGAAAAATTTTGTATCCAAGCATGCTCGTTTC